TCGAGCCGAGCAGCTGAGCATCTCAGGCTTGACTTTATCCTCTGTTTCCAGCAGATGCTTTAGTGACCTGTGATTCCCCACCTCCCCCCCATGGAAAATGAGGCTACATGTTCTAGTTGAATGAAATAGGGTGTGACTGCAGTTCTTGGAAAAGGGACAACAGCATGTGGCGCAGAGTCCAAAGCCTTTCCAAGCCGACGTGTCCCCCGGGAATTACCCCCGCACATCTGCAGAGGGCCCCTTTCCAAGTTCCCCAAAAGCCAAGAGCCTCTTATCCTTATGAAACTAACTTTTAAGAAATACCAAACATCTGCCAGTTCGATAGTGTTGGCTTGGCTTATGGGCATTAAGATCTTTTTTTATTAAGAGGAAAAATTCCCAGCCAGGCTGAAAACGCATATCAAGTTTCCGCCTGATTCATTTCAAAACCACCATGAAAATTGGGCCATTTTCTTTGCACCACAGTGGGTTAGTCATGGAAATTCTGCCTTAATCGCAGCTCCCAAGGCCACAGTCACGAGAGCATGTGCTGTGCCCCTGGAAATGGGCGACAGGTCGGGATGGCAAAGGCGTGGCACTGCAGGGGCTCGGGCCCCTGCCCAGCAAGCCACGGCGTGTCTTATTTCTTTCTGGATGTTTGGTTTTGTTGCTGCTTTCCAAACTCGAAACTTAAATGTAGCTGAATGTGTGTGAAGGTCAAGGGTGGCCCCGTCTTCCTTCTAGTGGCCAAGAAGAGACAGAATACTTAGTGCTGGCCCCGGCTCCCAGGCTTCGAGTGTTCAAGTCATCTAAATACCAACTTCGGGGCCTCCCTAGTGGTGCAAGGGGTTAAAGTGCAGCACTGTGAAGTGATCCACAGCCACAGCAGCACGAGTTCAATCCCCAGCCAGGGAGCTGACCACATGGCTCAGCAGACTTCTCCTGACCCACCCACTGCTCCGCTCAGCACTATGTATCAACCAGTCTGCCTGTTCTGCTCCCCACTCTGTCTCTGGTGAATCCTTTCTGCCCCCCACACCTCTCGCTCACACTCCAGCTCTTGTATGCATAAACACATAAATCTTTAAAAAAAAAATAAATACCAGCCTCAGCCAGTGAACGCAAGGGCCTGCCATGCTTTTCACCAGGGCCTGGAACCTTCCTCCCTGCAGCTACTGCCACACATCTGCAAGCTACACGCCTTGAGATTGTTCATCCATGGGCCTGTGGGTGTGTGTGCTGTTCTGTCACACCCAAGATGTTAAGCACATTCTCGCCAGGGTCCTGCTGGACTTTGACAGCTCAGAGATGAATTCCTGCGCTCCTGTGGTTCTCAGCCTGCACAGGGAGGGACTCCTGCCTTGGAATGTGCTTCAGAGTGTGACTGATTCCCAGCCCACACCTTGGCAAGCCCTCGGTGCCCAGGGAGACTTAATTCTTTCAGTGGGCCTGGGGATAGGCTGGAGTCCTGCCAGCAATCGGGCCCAGCTTTGCCGGGTGTGAACTTTGTCTGTTCCCGCACATCAGTGGATGTGCTGTGTCCATCCCAAGTGGGGGTCTGAGGCCATCCCACCTGCTCCCCGCATCCTTCCCACCCACCTTGCGTTCTGGGCCCCCTGGCCAGCATCCTTCCTACACCTGCCCCGGCCTTGCTGACCTGTCACTAATCACAGTGTCTGATGAGCTGTTCACGGCCTACCTCGCCCCACTTGCCCCCATGGAGGCCCCAAGCTACTGACGAGGCTTCCTCCTGGCATTTCTCCCAGACTGCCTACTCACTGGGCCCTGGAACACCCCGTCGATTACCTGGCAGCCCTAGTCTCTTCCCTCCCCCCACCTCAGCTTCCTATAGAGCAGTACTTGTAAAGTGGGTGGGTGTGTGTGTGCGCGCACGCTCACTCACTCACTCCTGTCCCCTGGGGAGACTCAAAACCTGCTCAGCCCAGGCTGTACCCCAGATGCTTTCAGTAAATCTCCAGGATGGGATCCCTAAATGAGTTTTTTTTTAATCCTCCAGGGGATTCCATTGCGCAGCCAAGGTGGATAACCAGGATCAATTAACCTTAAATTGGTCCTTAATCTCTTTGCCCTCCTTGGGTTTTGCCTCTGGAGCGGTTTAAGTTGTTGCGCAAAGCCAAGATGTCAGGCCCCCATGGCCGCTGGGAGGACCAGCAGGCCAGGCCTCCACCCCACTCCATCGGGCCTTAGCACCCACCCCTCTTGCCTCCCCTGGCCTCCTGCTGGGCCTCTGCTCCTGGGCAGCTCAGTTTCCCTCCTCTGCCCCCAACCAGGGCCTCCTGCCCTCCACAGCTGCCCGCAGCGACCTCCACCCTGTCCCTATTTCCCTTCTTTCAAGGCCCTTTTGGGGAGCTCCACAGAGAATCTCCTAAACTCACTGTATGTAGAGTTTGTGCAGAGCTTGTCTATAGTAGTAAAAAATCCAAGGGGGAATGATTTGGAAGTTAATAATATGACAATAAATCATAGGGCTACCAGGTAATCGACGGGGTGTTCCAGGGCCCAGTGAGTAGGCAGTCTGGGAGAGATGCCAGGATTGGGGTACAATCAAAATATTAATGAAGAATTTTTAGAGTCATACCTTGTAAAGTGAAATCAGCAGAATTGAATACTACAGCGTGTGAACTACACTATCTTTTTATGGAAGCAAATATACCAAAATGCTAATAGGAGTTGTTTTTGGTGTGCTGAGATTATAGTTGACCTTTTATAATTGATGATTTTGAGGTTGCTTTTTAAAAATTATACACTGAGCATGTATCCTATAATTAGAGAAAAAAAGTTTAAAAACATGAATTCAGGGGATGTTAGCGTCAGAGGATGGCTTTTGGCATCAACCCAAGTGCGTAATAGGGAATTTCAATTTCAGGCAACACGAACTTGGTACAGGTGAGTCCTGGGGCGGGTTTCGCGTGGGACCCTTTTCAGAAAAAAAAAATTCTCTTAAAGGGAAAGTCCCCGAGACGGTCAGCCCAGTGAGCCAAGTGTGGAGTAGCCCACGTAGCGGTGGGGTCTTGGCCTCGCCGGGCACAAGGGCTTCCCTGAGCCCCACCGAGCCAGCTGGCAAAGGGGAGCCCTTAGGAGTCTCAGCTGGTGCTGGGTGCTGATGGCTACCTCAGCCTGGCTGCTACTTTCCTTTGCGCTGTCTCTGCAGGTACTTAACCTTTGGTTCTACTTGCTTTGTTCTGATAATGTGAGCTCACTGAGTAATTATTCATCCAGCAGGTGCTAGAATAAAGTCACTTAATATAATCCTAGGTGTAATGTTAATGGCTCCTGACCAGTGCCTTGTGCTTGGCTTAGCACATTCCAATAAAGGAAATAGAGGGCAGGAAACACCTGCATGTTCATCACTAGAATAAAGCTGTCACTCAGCCAGGCTGCTTAGTTATGACTATCAGCAAGCAAGCGCTCCTCAAAATAAGGGGGGAGAAAAAAACAAAGAACGTTATCTTTTCTGTCTTGAACCAGCATATTTCGTTACAGCGGTTAGGTTGCTTTCAGTTGCAAAAAAAGACTATCTAGTTAAAGGAGGTTGAAATAGTGGGGCTTACTCAGTTACTAGCTGAGAACTTTGGGCGCTAGAGCATCCCAGGGTTGGTGGGTGACTCATCGGGCTGTCAGTCCTCAGGCTCTTCCATCTTCCTGTCCTGCCCTCCTCCAGGTCTCCAGCACTGACAATGCCTCCCCTTCTGTTCGTAAGGTGGCTGCCACTGCCCCAGGCATCCCACACTCGACAGCCTCCCAGGCAGGAGAGGAGAGGCGGCAGCAGTGCAGCCTCCTCTCACTACCAGAGGGCAGTTCTTTCTCCCAGCGGCTCTCAGTAGACTTCCCTGCGTTGCTGTGACCCATGTTGAGCCGTTCGGCTAGCTCCAGACCAATCACTGGTGAAGACGAGCAGGACCGCGGTCCCTGACTTTGACAGGACATGGTTCAGCCCAGGACCTGGGCCCCTCCTGAGTCAAACTGGGGCTCTAGTAGAAGGGAGAATGGGAGCTGGCTTGGGAAGGCAGGGCCTGGTGCGACATATGAGACAGCCTGCTTGTCAGGAGAAGATGACATTGCCCTAGCCACAAGCCATAATGGGTCAGCCGCTCGCTGGCAGCCATTCCTTTGCGTATCACACACAGACCTGCACTGGATTGTAAATTCCCAGAATAAAGCCAGGTAACCCTTAGACCTGATGATTGGCTGAAGAGAGTAGCAACATAAAGGCAGAGGCCTTCCTGCTGGACACGTGCCAGGTGACAGTCTGATTGAATGAGTGTGCGTCTGTCTTTGCCCTCTGTGAGGACGGGCTCACTTCTGCTGGGTTCACCAGTGTCACCTCAGTCTCGTTCTGTGCATGGCACAGAGAAGTTGCTCAACCTTGATGGAGTGAATGAAAGAGCAGATTGATGAGGGAAGAATGTTTCCAGTGAGAGATGCTTCTGGAAGCAGAGTGGTGCCAGACTGCATTCTGTGGAGAAATGGAAGCTTGGTTTCCGTCTCTCAGGAGCTTAGGATTCATGGGGGGTGGAAGCTGGTGGCCAGAATATTGTGCTACAGTCAGAGGAGAAGCTTCCTCTCGTCTTTCAGAATCGAAGACCGGCATCCCCTGCCTGTGTGTGCTGAGCTGTGTGGATATCATGATAACTGTTTTGGGTCCAGACTGCAGGAGTACTTGACCTACCCAAAAACACTCGGGTTTATGGAAGGAAGAAGATTCCTCCTTTTCTTCTCTTTCTGTGACTTTTTAAGATTTATGAATAGAGTCGTGGTTGGGGAAACGTAACACCCTTTCTTTCCTTCTGTGCTAGCTTGTTAAACCGAGGAGGAGGGATGATTTCATTCAGTGGCATCATGTTTCGTGGATAACCAAAGGATGTAAATGGCCTTTGCAAACGATGAAGTGTAATTGAGACAAAAAGATGATTGTCAAATAAAAGAGGTGCTTAGAACATATTGTAAAAATCTTTCCTCCCCTCTTTTTACTCTTAAAAATCTGCTTTACTTTGTTCTAGACCTAGAAGGTTTTGACTCCGTGGTATCTTCTACTGAGAAACTCAGCCACCCAACCACAAGCAGACCAAAGGCCACAGGGAGGCGGCCTCCGTCCCAGTCCCTCACATCTGTAAGTGTCTCCTCCTGGCTTCTCATTTCTCTCCAGCTGGGGGGCGGCAGAGTGTGTCGGCGTTACCCCCAGATGTTAACAAAAGATGCTGCGTTCTGTAAACACACATCTGCAAAGATGGCATCTGGATGCTGACTGTCAGTGGCAAAGAGGGTAAAGATGTAGCAGAAGGTGCCACCTCACACCTCAGTTTGAGCTGCTGTGGGGCTGCAGGGACACTGGTCACTGTTGCACACACCTGCTGGCCCCTTGCCCTGGGCACAGTGTCCTCTTGGACAGGTCGTCTTAGGCACTTCAGTACGAGGCAGGTGTCATGGTCGTGAAAGAGAACCAGGAGGAAATGGAGGAGAGGCAGGTTAAAGGCAGCTGCCTCTCCCTGGTGTGATCCTCCCCACAGGGACGTCAGAGGGGAGGAGTGCCCGGCATGCCACCATTACGGGCAGTACCAAGCTCAGTGCTTGGAACATAGCAGCGCATGTTTACAGAATCGAGAAAGGGAGGCAGGGGAAGTAGGGAGGGAGGGAGGTGGACGACAGATGACATGACCAGCGAAGGTCGGTGGAATAATCTGTAGACAGATCCCTGCTTCAGGAGCTTGCCTCTGAGCCCAGCTCCCACGCCATCTGCAGGGCACAGGCAGCAGCGTGCTTCCTGCCTCACAGGGATTGTGATGAGGAGACAAAAGAAAGTGATGTGCCAGGTGCTTTGGAAAGCGCCACAGCATTGTGTTAGCAGAAGTGTGTCAGCTAAGGTGTCATTCTGACAAAAGCCTTTCCTTTTGGTTTTATCTAGTCTTCCCTTTCAAGTCCTGATATCTTTGACTCCCCAAGTCCTGAAGAAGATAAAGAGGAACACGTTTCTCTTGCACACAGAGGAGTGGACGCATCAAAGAAAACTTCAAAGACTGTTACCATATCCCAAGTGAGTGACCAGCCACGTTGGGGTGTCCCAGTAGCACAGGGTCCCTGCTTTTCGTGGATGCTCTCACCGCACTTACGAGCTAAACTAGGAAAAACATGTTTTGTTTGGACTGCTGAAACAAAGTACCATAGACCAGGAGGATTATAAACAACAGAAATTTATTTCTCACATTTCTGAAGGTTAGCAGCCTGAGACCAGGATACCAGCATGGTCAGGTCCTGCTGAAGGCCCTCTTCAGGGTTTCAGACTTCTCATTGTATCCTCACATGATAGGAGGGGGACAGAAGGCTCCCCAGTGTCTCTTCTCCTAAGGACACTAATCCGATTCGTGAGAGCCCCGCCCTCTAGACCTAATTTCTTCTCAGAGTCCCTACCTCCTCAGACCACCATGCAGTGCAATCTCCACATAGGGATGTTGGGAGGACTCGACAGCTCAGTTCATTGCAACAGGCTGTGCAAGGGATTGCCATTCTTTAGTGACAGTGATTACTTAGGTCATAATGATTCCTGAGGCTTGGTACAAAACCTCCAAAGTCAGTCTGAACCCTTAAGATACAAGTTTAATGTTGATTTTCCCATGTCTCCTGTTGTGATCTCTTCATCCTATCAACCACATATATAAAAAGCTTCCACGCATGTGCGTGCATGCACACACACATACCCACCGCCACTACCAGCACAACGGCCAGAGAACTTACAAGGCCTGTCAATGTCTAGAAAGACTGCATTTTTAAAAACAATTTTTAATGATAGCTTTTTAACATTTTTTTCTTTATATATCTAATTACATTATTGTTCATTTTAAAACAAAGCTTACTTCCCACTCCCCCTCCTCACCCACCCGTCATCACCAACAGGAAGACTACATTAAATGTGTTAAATGCTGTGCCCTCTGCCCACAAATCTTGACTTTTCTGTTTAAAACTGGTAGCATTACAAGCTGTGGTTGGCAGCTTATGAATTTGAATAACAAATGATGGAGTCTCTTAAAGAAAAGGTGATTTTGATTCCTTCGGATTAATGGATAGCCTAAAAACCTTTTCACTTTATTGCCTGCCCAGAGAATGACACAGCTATTTTTCTAAACTTATTTGTGAGAAATAAAGATGACTTTGTTTAGCAACTGTATGGCCCCCAACGGATATCCTGTATAAGTTCTGTTCTTCCTTCCAATGTGAATCAAACTTTTTAAATTCCATTTTCTCTTGCTAGGAGAATCCAGTCAATTGTATTATTTTATATAAATATCAGAACTTCTGTCTAAAGCAAAACACTGAATTATCTTTTTAGCACATCTGAAACAGGAATTAACACGAGGAAATCAAAGATTGTATGAGATGTTTTTGGACAGATTTAAGAATTTACATGTGTAGATTTCTTTAAAACCGTATGATGCAGTGAAAAAAAATACAATCCTATAAAACCTGTCAATTGCAATTATTCATAAAAAAATATGCTTCCTTTATAAAGGGATTCCACTCACAGAAGCTGGATTTAGACCCAGTCTTTCTGGTGTTCATACTCACCCGACGCAGTTGCCCGCTCTCTGACGTCCCTGGGTGTCTCCACAGTGACGCCTACTGGGGAGCAGTGGCTCTTCACGTTTCTGATTTGCATAGTTCTATCCTATTAGACTGTTCTACTTCCCTGGAGTTATCATGTCATGTCATGTTTACTGCTTCTAGAAGTTCCATGGGAACTAATTTGGTCAGGGCATATGGTGGCCTGTTTTCTATGAGGGTTTTTAAAGTACTTTTTAGCAGAAATGTGCCGGGGGAGCAAGTCATGTTGGAGCTGCTAAGAGAAGCATGGATTCAAGAAGTGCCTAAATGTCAAGTCAGTGTGAGGAAGTTGGTGGATTTGGCAAAGCACATAAAGATGCAGGGTGAAAAATGGGGGAACGTATGAACCCCAGAATGGGAAAGAAGCAAAGGCTATACAGACGAAAGAGCATGTGTCTCTCAACTCAGACAACCACAGTCACAGAGCTGGGCCTATGTGGCAGCTGACAGGGGAGGGAGGGACTCAAGGCCCAGTTCTGCCAGTTATTAGCTGTGAGACTCGGGGAATTTCTCAGCCGCTTCCTCAATCTCCTGCTTGGTCGGATGTGTGTGCCAACCACCCGCGTTTCAGTTGTCTAGTTCATGTCCTGCTCAAGGCCCAGGCTCCATAAACGTCATTCCCTCTTTCCTCTTCCTGAAACTCCTAACAAAAAGCGCGGGATGGCGGATTGCTGTCCCTGGCAGCAGAAAATGCTTTTCCTCAATGGTAACTTGGCAGGAGAAGGAGAGCAGAGCGGCTGGGAACGGTGGCCCATCTGCTCCTGGCTCACTCTGCCCAGTCTCTCCCTCCAGCACAGCCTGAAGCCACACTCTGCTCTTCTCTGTGCCAACCAGGCCCCTTCTTGGCTCCTACCCTGGCGCCTGCTGTTGGACAGAGTCCCACAGTGGCTTTGCCAAGCTTCACCACCAGGCTCAGCTCCCGCCTGGCACCCACCCCCTCACCAACCAAAGTCCCGTCTGCTACACGTGCTCTTCGCCACCAGCCTACGGACTCCCTCCCTGGCCATGCTTCCTCCTCTGTGCCCGCACGAGCCTCTTCCCTCCACCCAGCACTGCCCTCCTCCCTGTGCACTCCTGGCCTCCTCATGACACGCCCCAGAGCTCCCTCTTGTCTCCTCTTTCTGTACCGTGGCCCTTGCTGGCTCTCTCCCCTCAGCACATCAGCCGACTCTGAGTCTCCTCCATCTTTGAAAATAAGCATAGCCCTTTCCCCTGGAGCGTTTTGGAGGCTGCTGCTTGAACACACACTTTCTCCTCTCCTTTCTCTTCTTCTTTCCCTGATGTTTTCTCCTCAGCCAGGTTTTTCCACAGAAAGTTCTAAGTTTGTGCACCATACCCCTTACCTCCTGTGCAGGCCCTGGCCTGCCTTGATCAGATTTCTGGCTCCCTTGCTCCACCAAATGGGCACCCCCAGTTTGCATCTCTGCTTCCTTGACCTACTTATCAAACCATATTTTTTCCTCTAGAAATTCCTCCAGGGGACTTCTGTAACCCAGGTCTCTCTCTCTCTTGGTCGCCTTGCTGCCCCTTTGCCCAGAGTACCCCGGTACTCTGTCTCAGTACCCGAGGGCTCTGCCTTTTCCCAGTTGGGAAGCCCCAACTCCCATCATTGCTCCTGTTCATGTCTAGTTCTGTGTCACCCACGCCCATGCTCTGCCCACTAGACAAGCTTCCTCGGCTGTCTCTCAGACTTCTTGAATTACCTGTGTCCAAGCCTGACGTCGTTATCTGGACCTTCAGCCTCTCCTGCCTGTGAAAGCTGCAACCTCAATACCTAATTCCCTGTGACCCTTGACCTGCGCTTCCTCTTCCCCTTCAGCCTTCCAGCACCGTGTCCCCCAGATCACGGGCTGTCTACGCCGTGAAGGCGGCCCCTGCATCTCCTTGTTGAATTAGCCCGCCTTTGCCACTTTTCTCCAAGCTGTCCGCTGTCAGCTCACTTGGCCACGGCCTAAGTCAAGCCCTCACCATTTCTAGCTTTCATTGTATGAAAATCTTCCAGCAATTCTTTCAGCCGCCAGACCCACCATGCTCAGGCCCTTCTGCAGCCAGAGGATCGTCAGCTTGGCATGCTGATTTCTCGGTCCTCTCACAGCCCCTTCTTCTACCTGCCCCATCTCAGCTATCCAACCCTGCCCCTCTCCTACCCCTCTGCTATTCTAGCATTGAGTCACTGCTTCTTGGGAATGTATTTTACTGCGCAGCATGTAGACTTCTGCCTACAGTATTCCTTTCATCTGGAACTTTCTCCCCCAACCGCTCTTTCCCTTTCTGGCTGCCTCAGAACTGGCAGCACCTTCCCTCCTGGGCAGGCTGGTCCCTCATTACCTCTGTGGCTCTGTGCTTATCCCCTTCTAGCACAGACGCCCCCTCCTCCGCAGTGTGCTGGTGACTCCATCTGCCCCCCCCATTGGGTTCTAGGCTCCTCAGGGCCCCAGAAAATGTTTTGCTCACTTGGGAGTTCGCGGAACCAGACACGCGTGGGCTGCTATGCATGGCATTCAGTCTGTCTCAAGAGACGGGCAAATTCAGAGCACCCAGGAAGCCCCTGGGAGGGGTCCTATGCCAGGGAGGTCCTGAGGGCTGGCGCGTGCAAGAATAAGTGAGTGGAGTCTGTGGAAGGAAGCTGGCACAGGGCTGTCGATGGGTGACTGAACAGGGCAGGTCGGCACAGCACGAATCCCTGACCTGAGTCCTGTCTGCCCTCCCTCACCACAGGTGTCCGAAAACAAAGCATCTCTGCCACCCAAGCCGGGGATCATGGCTGCAGGCAGCGGTGGGCCAGTCCCTCTGTCCTCAGTGGCACCATCCCCCCTGTCATCGTCTTTGGGAACAGCTGGACACAGAGCCAACTCCCCGTCTCTGTTCGGCCCGGAAGGAAAACCAAAGATGGAACCGGCCGCCAGCAGCCAGGCAGCCGTGGAGGAGCTACGGACGCAGGTCCGCGAGCTGAGGGGCATCATCGAGGCCATGAAGGACCAGCAGAAGTGAGTGTTGTTGCTGGGCCAGAACCCACGCATGCGTGGCAGTGGGAGGGTGGGCGCCAACCCAGGAGGCATACTTTAGCTCCCGTGTAGCGGTGTAGCACAGGCCGCCTGCGCACAGGGTGTCAGCTGCAAGGGCTGAGCTGCTCGCAGGCAGCTCCAGAGAGTCAGTGTGACCGCCACAGCCCTTCCTGAGCCCAGCAGCCAGCCAGCCCTAGCATCAGGAGAAACGCAGTTTCCTCTGGGAGTTGCATTTCGGGGCTGTGATGCCTAGAAAAGGTGCAGGGAATCTTTAAACCTGGGACTTCACGCTTGGCAAGGGCTCTCACCGTGAGGCGCGGGGGCCTTCTCTGGATTGGCCCCCACACACTGTCCAGTGGTCTAATCCTCAAGGAGCACTAGATGGGGAGCAAGACCTGTCAGCAGAAAGTAAGCAGCATCCGTAAATATTGCCGGATGCCACATGCAGTGTCAAAAATAGAGTCTTAGGAGAGAGGAAGTTATCTACGGAAACTGAGGCTCAGCGTTGAGGACGCTGTTCGGAAAGTCAGGAAACAGCTCAGTGTACTGGTTTTCAGGGAGCAGGGAAGCATTTCAAAGAGATGTGACCTGAGTGGGATTTTGAAAGGTGATTTAAGCTTGCCAAGGGCAGCGCACCTGGCAGAGGGACCTGCAGGGCAGGTTCACCAGCGCATGGACAGCCTGAGGCCGTGACAGTTGGCAGGGCCCGGGACCGACTGTCACACGTGCAGGGAGGACACCTGCGGACGGGGACGCCTGGTCTCTGCTTCCACACAGGGTTGGAGAGCCCTGAAGTATGTTGTAGTAGATTCTTTGGGGAATAACTGTATTAAACCAAGTTCATTCCTTCTCTGAAGAACTGCTCAGTCTTGGCCATATGTCGGGAAGATGGCGAGGACAGTATGTGCAAACATACTTAATCGTGGAGCCCTTTCTCCATAGGGCATTCTAGAATGAGGGTTCCATGGAGCTCACTTGGAGCCTTGTGACACTCGTCAGGTTCTGGTCCACGCAGGCTGGCATGTGAAACTGGACCCCCTGGATCTCCCGCCTACTTGGAGAAGGTCCATCAGACACATGAGCAGAACTAGCAGGTCAGAGCCGGCAGGGACCTGCCAGGCTGCCCCTAACTCCTGGGGGTCCCCAGCTCTGCCTGACTCTGCAAAGTACAGGTTTGGGTGCCCAGAGGCCCGATCCATATCCAGGTAACGTGTGTGCCCCAGGCAGTGACCTCACAGCCCCCTAGACCCGAGCGCTGCTCCTCAACCTCTGATTGGGAACATCGTTGTTGCAGAGTGGCCTGGGCCCAGGCTTCGGGCCTTGGGGTCTCAGAGGTCCCGGGAACTTTGTGCATGTTGGAAGTAACATACACCCATCTCCGAGAGCAGAACTCCGGGGCTTTGGGGCCCACTCCACCCCACGTTCCGAAGCCCAGGCTTAGTTGGCCAGCATTGTCCTTTCCCAGCCAGCATCTTCCTGATCACACTTCACAGTCTCTCTCCACGGTCTGCCTTCGGCAGCTTGACCATCTTGCCAGCATCGCGCCACCCCCAGTCTCTGGCCCCAGCTCTCGGTGTAGCTTTCCTCTGGGCCTTCAGCTCGAGTCTGTGCCGATGCGCCTCGTCCTAGCTGTGCTGGTTCTCAGCCGCCTGCCCCTGCCCTGGCTCTTCATCCGCCCCCGGCGCCTGGCCTCCACATAGCCCCATGCCACGGTGGTGGTGTGTTTTTTTTTCTTACTAGTTCTGCATTAGTGACTTTCTTTCACCACCTTCTGAAACTCACTCCCCCTGCTGGATACTTGAGGTTTGGCCTGCTGTCGTCTTCAGTAGCCTTGCTGTGAGCGTAGTCTCCCTCCTCCCTCTTTCCTAAGCCCAAAGGAGTGTCCACTGAGAGGTGGATGCATAATGTGTGCTTGAGCAAGCGCCGTGACAAATCGCAGCCATTTAACGTCAGGAAATGCAGTGTGTTGGCAGCAACGCGGCCTCCGCCTTGCGTTGGGATGTTTGCAGTGCGCTTAGCCTCGAGCCCTGAGCTGGTGAGATCAGTTTCGGTCCACATCACTACGTAACGCTGGAAAGGGCGCTAGACCGCTGTCCTAACTCACGCCTGCTTTCTCTACAACATGGTCACCATACTGTTGGTTTGGCTATTTTACCGCCACGTTTTTGGCTACGACTGTTTGTAGAATTTTGTTAAGTTAAAACTGAAAATAAAGGAAATAGGTAAATGTAAATACAAATATAAAAATGTCTATGAAAATAATATACATTCATTTAAAAACCAATCATGAAGAGGATCGTTCAAGAGAGAATCTGAGCCTGGATAGCTGGAGTTTAATCATGAGGCAGGTCAGGCCACCTCTCAGGGCCTCAGTTTCCCCAGCTTCTCCTTAAGAGAAGCTTATACTGAGCTAGCTCAGACCTACTATGTGATGGCTACATAGTTGGGAAACCCAGAAACCGTGGGTAGTCATTGTGTCTGCAATATTTCTAAGCAATAAGTCTGCATTTTTTGTGTGAAAGGGTCAGAAGGGTTTGGCAGTGACAGGAGCTCTCTTATCTCCTACTGGGGAAGGCTGGGTTTTTCTTTCACTCCATTGCCATTTGCCTTTCAGACGAGAGATAAAGCAGTTACTGTTGGAGTTAGATGAAGAGAAGAAAATCCGGCTTCGGTTGCAGGTGGGTCCCTGGGGTCTTGCTGCCATGAGAGGCTCTGGTGGGGTGTGGCAGTCAGGGCTTTATTTGGGAAATAAGTGATAGATACTTTTCTGCAGATGTAAACACATTCCCAGTGGCAATTTCCTTAGGAAGGCTCACTGCGCATCTTCTGTTGGAGTCCACAAAGTGTGGAGGAAGGGAGACAATTAGTAAAACGTGCCCTCAGTTGGGTTTCTCATTTGGAATTTACTAGAAACATCTCTTCTGTGGAAAGGTTCCCCCAGGTGCCGGAATCTCTGTATAGTAACTGCCCCAGGGCTTAACCGGGGCAGACCCTGGCCTGCTGGGTTCTGTCATGCAGTCAGTGGGCCACCAAGGCCCACGCCATCCATGCTCAGCCTTGTCTTCATCTCTTTGTGCTCCACGTCAGCTCCGCCAGAACAGCACAGCTCATTCCCCTTCCGGCACTGACCCAGCTCTCAGCCCTTACTAACTGGCAGAGAGCGCGGGTGAGGAGGTTTGCAGATGGCCGAGTAGACTTTCACTGTCATCTGCATGCATGGTGCCCTTGGTAGGAAACAGGACCCATGTCATTTAAAGAAAGGCAGGTGACTGCGCATCATCTTGTTGGGGGTGCTGACAGACGCCCCTTTGGGCCCAGCCGCGGCTGCCTTCCAGCACTGCCAGGTGGTCTAGCGTGTCAGGACAGCTTGCTCTGTTCTCTGCAGGGAAATTGGAATTATTGCTGGTTTTGACAGATTTTGGATAGTGGGCGCCTGAGCGTTAAACCAGCCGCCATTTCCCAGGGCGTCATGTCTGCGTGCCTGTTTTTCAGGCTTTTTCATTTCTGGCAGCAGCATCAACTCTTCCTTCAGATGTCATTTCGCCCATTTCACCTTTAAAGGGTCAAGTTGATGATTTCTTCCAGTCAACCAGGCTGATTATCTTTCAGCTTCCAGTACACCAACCAATTCATTATGATTTTGTTTGGTTCTTGTTTTTCCCTCGTAGATGGAAGTTAATGACATAAAGAAAGCTCTTCAATCAAAATGAATACTTGATCAATGAATTGTCGCATAACTCATCCTGAGTCCAAGACTCAAATTTTCCGCCCCAGCCAAAATAACCTTGTGCCAAAAGATTAAAGGTTTGCCTCAACATGTCCCTGTTTGAAAGATTAGCACAAAAGTCTTGATAGCACAACACAAATTCCATCCAAGAGGAGACTCTTCCCCAAGGTCTAGTCCTGGGTCTGGCACTGGTTGTGACTTAAACAGAGAAAATTGTGCTAAAGGCTTTTCTACCATGAAATCTCACGCGAAATGAAACTCAGGCAGTTTAGTCCATAGTGGTACTATTTTGATGATATTTTCCATTAAAAATGTAATTTCAGATTATTCGTTTACAAGCTTTATAATTTTATGGTTTTTTTAATCGTGTTTTGTCACAGATGCCCCAGTGTTTGTATCTCACACCGTCGGGAGCCAGTGCCCTGTTCTTTTGCTTTAGGGGGAAAGCTGCCTGGCCTTGTGCCCCCCCACCAAGATCCTGTTATGTATGCAACCGAGTCCAGCCCTCCCTCCCCTGCCAGCCAACCCCACCGCCCTAAGATAAATTTTAGCTCATATATGATGGTATATTTACAAACAGAGAAAGAGAAAACCTGGTATTTGCAATGACCTGTGCCTTCTTTTTACCACCCTCTTGATTGGAACTTTTGTGATGCAGCTACCATGATTCAGAACAACAAGAAAACCACATTTTTTTTTTAGCCACTTATCCAAGCCCACTAGAGGCCACTGTCTTCAAAGCTTCTCCTGCCTAGCCAGAGGTACTAAAGAGGAGACAGCTGTGAAGCTGAGCGTGCTCTGTGGTACCAGCTGCGACTTTTAAGTTCTCCTGGTTTTAGGTTGTTCGTGGAACTAGAAAAATGTCACCCCTGCTTGATTTCCATCAGCCAAGTTAAACCCCTGCTTACTGTCCTTTGCACCTTTTGCGTGAACAGAATATGCATTATTGAAGCAAAAATAAATAAAAGTAAAATGCAAATGAAACAAGGGGGGTGTTGTGTTATTTCCCGCACTGGGCTCTCCTGAGTTACTGCTTGGAGTGTGCTCCTCCATGTCATTTGCTGGTTCTCTTGTGCACCTTCCTCAGGGCCGAGACCGGGGGGAGGGGCAGCTCCGATAGAAGCATGGCCATTGGATCTTTCTCGCATTTATGGAATTGCTCCTTCCTCCCCAGGGAAACTGGTGTTTGCTTGTCCGTTTTATCCTCGTAGCAATCGAACAGTTCAGCCTTAGACTGTGTAACTGTTTCCTCGCCCTTAGCTGAAATTAAGGAGCATACTGTATTGCAAGATTGTTTGGGGATTGGGAAGGGGGTGGGGGTGGTCCTTTAATGGTCCCTGAAGAAGTTTTATGTGTTTCTAAAAAGCTGCTTTGTCTGTTTCCTGAGTTTCAGAGTGAAACCACCAACCATTAATAGATTTGCACAACCACAAAGAGTAAGAGTTGATAACACTCAAGAAGTGATGCAAAGCCAAAACCAAAGCCGCACGTTACTGGTCACTGAAAGTACTGCAAGTGTCTCTTCCATTCTCCCTCAGGCTCCCTTCCCTTGCCTTCCTCTTGCCTACACACTCATCCTTGCTGCTTGTGACCGCTACTCACCCAGAGTATTTACAGAGCCGAACACCTGGTCCTGCCTCCCTGGGTGCTGGCGCAGTTCAGGAAGGGAACATGAAACCTCCCCTCCGTCATTCCCATCCTTCCCATGTCGGGACACGTTGCCTTTTCAGCAGCCTTCTTCTGGGTATACTTGAGGCCAGAAACCCCAAGTTTGTGAGGGCAGTCTAAAACATTACTCCTTGTGTGTTCTAAGCATCTCAGTGTTTAACTTGAAGCCTTCAGAGGTTTCCCAGCACCCACTCAAATATTAGAATGAGGATGGGAGTCTTTGATATTTGGATTCTTCATTTGTTCATCATGAAAATCCCTACCGATAGGTTCCTAGAATGTGTGGACAGAGTAGGTGTGTCGATGATTCAGTGGAGACGCTGGCTTTTATGCTCATGGGGCACTGGCAGCGGATGGTAGAGGCCTGTCACCTGCCCTCGTGGAGCCACTGAGGGAGGAGTGATTCCCTCAGTGGCATACCCAGCTTCATTACTGCCCCTTGGGCTAACCAGCAAGAGGATTTTACATCAGAGAACTGTTCAAGCCACTGCCTGAACAGCGACCATCTTTACTCTTTTAAAATGGGCCCATCAAGAATATTGAAAAGCTTAAAAGTATCACTTTTGAAAAAATTATTTGGCATTCAGCATGGACCTGACCAGCAGCTATGGAGACTATTTTTTTGCTTCATTTTCTAAAGTTGTATTTGGAAAAGTCTTAAGTAATGCGCTTTGTAGAGAAGATGATTAAAACAAGATTTTGTGAAAATATTTTTGTTGAAAGTTGTCATGGTCCAAGAGGAATAGTTCCTTGGAATTCAAACCATTTTTGTCCGTTTTACACCATTTGATCACACTTCTGGGAACACCTTCATACGACCTGAAATAGAATATTCACCCCACCCATGTTTTCTAAGTGAATAGAAATAATCTATTGAAGTCTGGCTGTGAATTCTATTTCAAATGGTTCAAGTCTGTATTCATATTTAAGCAGAAAATTCTAGTTAGGCCTAAGATTTTTTAGTGTAAAAGTCATGAAAATATCACTATTTGAGTAATTGTGTAAAGCCACTTTTCCTATAAAGCCCTTTAAACAGCATCCTTGTGTCCATGATCTGTCTGGTGCCAGAAAGACGGCCTGTAGCCACCGTCACAGGAGTATCTGGTCACTGATGGCGGGGCTCGCTTGCACTCATAACCTGCTCTGTGATGGGAAAATAGCAGGTTGGATAATTTATTACTCACAGTTGCCTCCACCTGTATAAAAATAACCCCCAAGTCTCACAAAGGCCTTTGTATTGTAACCTGAGGTCATCGTGGTCTCCTTTTTTGATTAGGTTTTAGTCCTCTGGTTTATTTTAGCACAAATTACCATCAAGATATTTTAGCACTGAGAGGCCTTGGTGAAAAGCTTTTCTCTTTGATTTTGTGTAAATGGAAGAGTAAAAGCAGCACGTGTGGATGCTAGTTGTTCCGGAAGCTGACTGTGTCTGACAGTGGGATGTCTTGGACCTTTCAGCCTAAGGCTAGGAAAGAAGCTAGCTGTAATGAAGGAGCTAACTAGCTGTAATGAAGGAGCACAGAGGCCAAGGCAAAGAAAACTTTCCCAGCTGGAGATAAATGTTTGCTGATTCTGTAAAGGCAGGAGGAGTATTGTGTCTCTTAAGGTGATGAATCTTCGCTCGCTCGCTCGTATTCCTATTTCTGTTCCCAGGGCTTGGTTTCCAAACTCAGGGAGCAGAAAGCAGCTTTGGAAGCCAAGAAGAAATCCATGAAGTCGATGCAGGTCCCTGAAAGGTGGTTTTATTTTATGCAGTTTTAATTGATTCCAAGTCAGCGGCATTAGGACAGGGCCTTCCTGTAAATGACGGCGTATGCTCGTCATATTTGTGACATCACAATTCACAGCAAAACAGACTGTTCCTTTTTCCTTCTTGGAACAAGAGGTGATGAAACATTACAATCAAACTATAGAACAAGGCGGCCTAGTACGTTGTAGCTAGAATTTTCTGAGGAAAAAAACAGGAAAAAAATTATTAAGAGTTAAATTCCTGGAGAGCCAGCTTTGTGATCTAATTCTCTTTAAATGGCAGCACATTGCCTTCAAGGATGCAGACGGAGCACTGACATTCAGGTCTTGAGTGGCCCCCTCCCTCTCATGCCTCTGGAAGCTTGTGGGTTCTCCAGTAACTAAAATTTCTTCCCCTGCTTTGAGCTCTTGGGGATAAGTGCCTTGGAAATGCAAAAGTTCACTATGGTTTCCATTAATTAGAAAAATGGTGGGAGGGGTTTACAAACCAGTTTTACAGAGTGATAAGGCTACCCTGAAGTCAAACAGAAAAACCAAAGACAGCGATAGCATTTTCAAGGTTGTTCCCCAAAAGAAAAACACAGGTGTCTGAGAAATAGAGAGGTTTCTCTTCAAGTTTTGTGATTGATTATTCCTTCGTCTGAGTCTCAGTCTGAGAGAACTGAGGAGCGGGCGAGGGCTCCAGCTCTGTGGTTGAATCCTGAATGGAGGTGACTGAGGGAGGAACTGGCCCCTGGCAGAAAGCACCCCCACCCTGCTGGGTAGGCCCCAGACCTATCCGGTCTGCATCAGCATGGTCTCCTTGGACCGAGTGAATCTGAAGGAAATGAAACTTGGACTGAAGGAGGATGAGGTCTCAGAGGGAACTCTAGGCCTGGAGGCAGAACTGATCTGCATTTATGAAGACCCATCTAGTGCTGAGAATCTGGGAGGGGCTGGTGAGGGAAATGGCCCTTTGCACCAAGGATGGGCCTGCTGACCAGAGCCCTACCAATGAATCATTAAGGTTTAGAAGAATGGTGGGGACTGTATGCTGGAATGTGGGCCCCAGTTACCTTGGTATGTTTGACTGACTGATTTTTTGTCTGATTATGGAATTGATGGACTCTAGGTGGAAGATAAAAAATGTAAAGGCAGAATTTATCCTAATCTTTTAGGTAAGTCTTTCATTATTTTGCTGTCTCATAATGGAGCTTATTCTGTCTATGTAGCTTTATAGCCTGCTTTTCTACTAGTGCTTCCATTTCTTTGTAACTAATTTATTTCGTAAGTGTGATTTATAGTGGCTGCATAATATTGTCTATAGATGTGCCAAAGAGGATTTAACCAGTCTTTTCTCCAGTGTGTGTTCAGTGCTTAAAATGTGCCATAACAGGCACTGAATGCAGTGTAACCCCTGTCCTCAAGGAGCTCAACTGTACAGGTAGACAAGGTAAGCAGGCAAGTCTTCCACAGAAAACCTGAACACAGAGAGAATCCAGAGGCTTTGGAACTGCAGGGGCGCCTGGGGCGGGGGGAGGAGGAGGTCGGGGAAAGAAGGGCATTTGGGGCTAATTTCAAGGCTTTTTTGCTATAACTAAAACTTTGATGAGCATCTCTGGACATATGCTGATGTCCACAATTTTTTTTTTATCCTTGATGAGGATAAAGACTTTTCCCAGCTTCACTCTCAAATACCTTGTACCTAAAGCATTGTCAGGTACACAGTAAGTAAGCACTTAATATATATTTATAGAGGGGATATATAGGTGAATTGATACTTGTGACTGATGCCATAATTTGTAACCAGCTCAGTTTTGCCTTTGCTTAAACTGCACAGAACTGTAGCATTTACAGAGGGTTCTTGACAGAAGGAAACAGATATGAAGAAAAAAAAAAAGACTTCAGAGGCACTTTATTTGCTCTTGAGTCTCAGTAAATACCCAGAATGAGGCCGGTGCTGCTTATTTCACCATGGACCTAGAACAAGTCCATGCGGTCCGTACAGCAGTATGTCTGAGACCATCACCCACTATTATAAAACCATGGCCGCCTCTGAAGACATAAAGCTTTGTTTTTTGTTTTTTTTTTAAGATTTATTTATTTGTGCATACAGAACTGGGGTACAGGCCAGAGGCTCAGGGGCGGTGAGAGGCTTCACCGGAGACAGAGTGGGGAGCAGAACAGGCAGATCCACGAAGTACACTGCTGAGGGGAGCAGCGGGCGGGTCAGGAGAGGTCTGCCACGCCATGTGGTCACCTCCGGGGCAGGCGGGAATCGAACTCATGGGGAAGTGGCTTTTAGATTCTCAGTGCTGTGCTTTAACCCGCTGCGCCACCAGGGAGGGCCCATAAAGCTTTGTTTTTTATCTACATTTGCTCTGGAGAAAGAAAGAATTCCAGGATGAACATATTGTTGAGACTTTTCTGAGGCCATCTGAGACCTAATTGCTACCCCTCAGAGTTAGTCATCCCTCAAAGTGATGAGTAAGTATAACATGCAGTGCGCCTTGGGTCTCCAAGACAAGCATGGCGTCCTGGCATGTGATTCCTGGGAGAGCAGCAGTGGCGTTGC